TAAGGTTTGAGACACAAGATAAATGAAAAATTTGGAACTTAAAAACCTGCAAATAGGGATAGTAAAGAAGGTAAGCATACAAGGCTGGAGATACTGTATATATTATTTACTCAAGCTACAAATCGATATTTTGTCTCCACCAAATGTAACTTTAGCTAACAGCATGGAATCAAAATAGGGATTTGTAGCTCGAGAAAATAATGTCTATAGTGTCTCCAGCCTTGTATGCTTACCTTCTTTACTATTCCTATTTGCAGGTTTTTTTATCTTAGACTTCTTTTTTTTTTACTTTTTTGCGACTACATTTTCACTTTAAGCTAGCTATCTTGTTTCTATATTTTGTATGATCCCTATTTCCCTTTTCAAATTAACAATTTTTAATAATCTTGTTTAAATCATACCGTACTCAGTTGTTGTTAGAAATCATTTAATAAAATTAATAAGATGAAAAATGACCTTGAGATAGAGATAGATTTAGGAACGTTCCTTCTATTGTTTCAATGGGCGCCTAACTTTGTTTAAAAGTGTGTGTGTGTGGAAAGCGAAGAGTGAGGAAGGAAGAACTGGCGAGTGGAAGGAGGCGAGAAAATGTTTTACTGCAATAAATATTCATAGTGGAACAGAACGTGCCCATTCTGCCCCTCTAAGTAAGATCCTATGATTTTTTTTCATTGTTATATAAGTAATAAATATCTAATTTAGATAAAGAACCGTTGAACTGATTTATGTTTGCTGAAGCTAATTTTGTGATGGTTTTAAGTTGACTGTTCCCAGTTCACGAACCTGATCACAGGTCCTAGTAGAAGTACATGGAATAATATGCGTATTGTCCAGTCTAGCTTGGACATTTTAGGTCGATGTACAATAGTTGAATGGTTCTTTTTCACTTCCTGCTTGTGCATGTACCAACGAAGACTGAATACATTTACAGTGAGAGCCGGAATGGCAGTAAACGCTACGGTCAGTCCGAACCACCAAGTGTAACCTTCTAGATGCAGGAAGTAACATACAGCGATGTCCGTGCCGATGTTAAATGTGTAAGAGAAAATACCAACAAGAGCGAAGACAGCACTGACTATTGTAAAGTCTCCCGTGTGGTCCACTTGTTTGGTGAAGATGAACTCCGTTTGTTGCAGAGGGTATCCATGACAAGGATAGTGGTGATCCTGTAAGATGGTCTCAATTTGTCTTCCCTCGGGAATGTGAGTTGGATGCTCTCTTTGTTCATGTGCCATTCCAGCCTGGTATCCATGACCCCGAAGACAATGGAGCTTCCGGTTGTAGCGGAGATGGGCGTTATGGATATCATCCCAGTGGGTGGGGCCTTTCATCTCCAGCTCATTAACCGACACCATTGGATGTCTGTCCACTGAAAAAGACATAGAAAATAAAGATTCAACTTTTATTTATCTGTTGTTATATTATCAAACGTTAATCATTATCGTCCTGTATAGTGCGATGGTTTTTGATTTTACTTATAACCTAAACAAATTCCCAGTGACTAATAAACAGTAACATAAATTAAAACAACAGTCATTTAGTAGTAATATTTGTGTTATATTACACCAAAGTAAAACTAAAGTCACGCTATTATTTAATGGTCCGATAAGCTGTATAGTGCTTGTTAACAATCATATTAATACAGCTGATTTTTTAATAAAAAATTTGGAATCAATTGACAAACTAGCCTATTTTTACAATGTGTCTCTTCACGAATGTGTCAGTTGAAGAGACGTTGACTTGGCAATAGATTATTAGAGAACAAGAAAATTCCCCTCTTAGAAGGAAGAGGAATTATGATGCTGACCCATATTTGTGTGTCGAACGCATATTTTAAGGTAGGGTATATATACATATATATATATATATATTCTTTAAACAAATATCGGTTTGGCTATGAGGTCTCCCTTGCCCTTCCTGTTCTGCGAGTTGGTTGGTTATGGAGTTTCCATTTTCTCTCCTGTATTGTGAGTTGTTTGGCCACGGGGTCTTCATTGCTTCCCTTGTTATGTGAGTTGTTTGGCTATGGGGTCTCCCTTGCCTCCCTGTCATGTGAGTTGTTTGGCTATGGGGTCTCCAATGCCTCCCCTGTTATGTGAGTTGTTTGGCTATGGGGTCTGCATTGTCTCTTCTCTTATGTGAGTTGTTTGGCCATGCGGTCTCAATTTTTTCTCCTGTATTGTGAGCTGTTTGGCCATGGTGTCTTCATTGCCTCCCCTGTTATGTGAGTTGTTTGGCTATGGAGTTTCCATTGTCTCTTATCTTATGTGAGTTGTTTGGCCATGGGGTCTCCATTGCCTCCCCTGTTATGTGAGTTGTTTATGTTTAAACTCGAAATGAATAAATTACAAATTTTGAGGTTAAAACCTTTGGTGTTGTTGAGGGATGTAGATGACATGTTTTTTTTGTGTGTGGCGGAGTGATAACGATATATTATTTAACGCAGTTTGAAGGGCATCTTGATTCGGTTATTTATATCCGAGTTACCATGGAGATGGAAGAAGAGGTTCAGTTGAATTTCCTAGATATGAGAGATAAACGGGATAATGGGTTTCTCTCAACGTCTGTTTCTAGAGAACTATTTTCTGTGGGTGTTCTACCACACAATATATCGTGCCATCTCTGGACACAAAAAGTATCCGTCTTTTCCACATTTAAGAACCTGCACTCACGATTGTTAATCTTTTTAAATGTAACTGGAGACAGAAGCTATGATACCGAGATTATTGATAGACTTCATGAAAAACATAACAATAAATTCAAAATGTGATTATATACAAAGTTAAAAGGAAATAGTGATGTTGATGACATGAGAGTTTGCTTACCATACGTTCAAGTTATGTGAACAAAAATAAGTAACATAATAAAAACTACATAGACTGAAGTGTAACTCTCTCTCCGCGTTGTTAGTTAAGTAGTTATCTCACGGGTGTTAAATATAAGCAGAACAAGTTAATAAGTGTGGCATTTAAAAATCCTTTGTGTCTGTGGTCAAGTGTATATCGGTCAAACGTGTATAAATCTGTAATTTCGAACCAGGTGAACATAAAAATGGGTAGAAAATGTAAAATTAATGAATCGGCCTTAGCAGAACACGTGGCAAGCACATCTCATGTTATAGATTGTAATAGTGCTAAACTGATGAATCAGGTTGAGTTTAAGTGGAAATTAAATATCAGAGAATTAATAGAAATTGAGAAAAATAAAAATATTATTTGAATAAAGATGGAAATCCTGGAAATTTGTTTTATAAGCTCTTCGGTTAAAATAATGTAAGTCGGAGGTGATTTTTATATTATATATATTTTGTATTATTATAACGCCCCCCTGGCTGAAAGGACGAGCATATTTGGTGGGACGGGGATTCGAACCCGCGACAGTCAGATTGCGAGACGAGCGCCCTAACCACCTGGCCATGCCGGGCCCTCCCTTTTTTAAAGCTATGCCCCTTTTTAAATACATCTTATTTATTGTGCAACTATTTAATGTTGTATTACTCTTAGTTTTTGATATTACAATATCTGTCTCTATTATCAGAATGTGTACTAGGTAATTTTCAATTTACTGTTGGGAAAACATGCTGCCAGAATCGATGTCATTTCTAATGTCAAGAGAGCAAGCTACATAGAAGTATGAAACATTATTGTCATACAGATAGTTACAATATTTGTCCCTACGGATATTACCTTTGGGCAGATATGCTGTTATATATTTACAGCCACAGTCGATGACATTTGTCATGTCAGGAGAGAAAATTACATTAACGTTTAAAACATCACTTTATGCCAACAGACAATTACAATATCTGTCCTTCCTGTCAGGAAGTATACCGGACAATTTCAAATTTACTGTTGGGTAGACATTCGCAATATCTGTCCTTCCTGTCAGGAAGTATACCGGACAATTTCAAATTTACTGTTGGGTAGACATTCACAATATCTGTCCTTCCTGTCAGGAAGTATACTGGACAATTTCAAATTTACTGTTGGGTAGACATTCACAATATCTGTCCTTCCTGTCATGAAGTATACCGGACAATTTCAAATTTACTGTTGGGTAGACATTCACAATATCTGTCCTTCCTGTCAGGAAGTATACCGGACAATTTCAAATTTACTGGTGGGTAGACATTCACAATATCTGTCCTTCCTGTCAGGAAGTATACCGGACAATTTCAAATTTACTGGTGGGTAGACATTCTATTATAATTACTCTGCTACAAACGATGGCATTTAAAATGTCAAGAGAGTAATTAACATAAATGTGTAAAAAATAATTTTCTTGTCATACAGACAGTTGAATTATCTGTCCTTACCACCTTGAAGTGTAATAGATAATTTTCAATTTACTGTTGAGCAGACTTGTTATTAACGTCACCCTGCCAGAATCTATGTAATTTGTAATGTGAGGAGAATAAGTTATATAAGTGTGTAAAACAACACTTCACTGTCGTATATACATAAAAATGTCTGTCTTTCCTAACTGTCATGCCGATGGTATAAAATATTTCATTTTTTTCTGCTTTCGTATTATCTGTTTAATCCACAGATTTCATAAAATCAAAAATTCTAATTTCATTAAATCGTTCATCTTATACGCATAAGTATCTTTAGCAGTTTATTCAAATTATCAGCTTAAAGAATTTCTGGAAATGTTTTTATTTTAAAACTAAGAACAACGTTTTTCCTGTAGACAGTTCAAAGCTCTTCGTTTGTACACTAGGCAGATTATTCGTTTCAATCGTTAATACAGCGAAGATGAAATTGTGTTTGGCCCGGCGTGGTCTTGTGCGACTCACGACTTTTTTTTTTTTTTTAAAGAAGCAATATAAACGTCTCAGAATGGCCCTCTCAGAGCTCAGACTTTATCTCTATTGAACATCTTTGTAAACAACCGAAGAAAAAACAAGCATGGTTGTTGGAACGTATTTGAACTCATGTCTTTCAGAACAACAGTAGTTATTAAGACGAAGTGATCACTAAGGCATATACACTCATTCTATACGAAGTGTCTGAAAAGTTCTGGCAGAGCAGTATATATGTTTACACATTCAAAACATTATTTTCATAATAATAACACAGGGCAACAAAACAATTGTTTCCCTGCTACTAGAAAAAATGTAACTTTTTCTGAGTAATTTGATGATACTGATTCTAAAAATCATGTTGAAAATTACTGATCACCTCTAGTTTTCAAGTTATGATAGATTTATTCAAAATATCCTTATGTGTTTTGAAAATAACAGCTTTTTCTTTAATAACTTTATTATTCATTACAAACTGTATTTAAGAATGTATAATCTGAATGCCTTGATAGGTTTCTTTCATGTTCACTGCATGAGTAACAGGAATCGATGTTTTAATGTTCCCATTGTGCAAAAGTACAGCTTTCAGACTAGCTTTAGATGAGTCAATAAAAAGTCTCTATTCTTGAGGATGATGTTCAGTACCTAATTTTTCCATTATTGCATCAACATTTGCACAGAAACACAAAGTATCTTACATGCTGTAGTAAGAAGCAAGACTTTGATGGCGATTTCGGTAAACTGAAACTCTTGTTCCTGGGGCTAATAAACGAGAGAGTATAAAATTATTTCAATTGTGTCATCTTTAGGATCATAAGGTTTATTATTGTACTTGGATTTCCTGCACATGAATCCACTGATATAATTACCAGTAAAAGATGAAGTTGTAAGGTGTATCTTGTTTCGTAAAAACAAAAATATTGAATTTGAAACTATAAGAATATGGTTTAGAAACATAACTTGGCATCACAATGTTTTTCATCAGAAAGAATCAGCCTTAATTACACACTGTTTAGAACTTAATGTGAATTTTTCCATTCCCCCAAAACCTCTATAAGATCTAACTAAATTGCAAAATAAGTTAGATATAATATGTCGGAGTCTGCAGCTTTGTAACCAGAGTATTTTAAACATATTTGTCACCGAGTGAATCGATGCTAATTATTTAAACGTATCTCAACGTTTCATACGCATTATTTCTACTTTAACTAATTTTCTCATAGGTAGGAATTACCAATAAAAATTGAAATTCATCCTAAAGATGTTTTACAAATAAAGTGTTTGTAGATTCCTTTTATCTGGAGGTAGTCATCCTTTAAACTTTTAAAATGATACTGAAAACATCGATCTATTTGTTAATTGGATGTTTATCATGTAATAGAGAATGAATTCTGAAGTTTTTGCTGAGTAAGCAAGAGGGATATAAAATCAAGGAATAAAATGATATCGGCTGATACCACAATTAGAAACAGTTAATCAAAAAATAAAATTAAGAATTGGAAAGTGATTTTGTTTTGAGAGAACAAATATCAGCTGCTGTAATAAATATTATACTAATGTAAAGTTGAGCGCACATATACACGCTTGCCACCCATCCATGCATGTACATATATTGATAGGTATTGTTGCATAACATATAACTATGTATATTTAAACTGATTCAAAGCCCTTCCCCCCCGTGGCACAGCGGTATGTCTGCGGACTTACAATACTATAAACGGGGTTTCGATACCAGTGTTGGGCAGAGTAAAGATAGCCCATTGTGTAGCTTTGTGCTTAACTACAAACAAACAAAAACTGATTCGAAAACGAACTGATATGCATAACATTTGTCTACCTCTGTGTTTCAATAATAAAATTAGGTAGCTTTACTTGCTTACTGCACTATTATCATCATGATTGAAAGCTACTTTACTTGATTAATAATCTTCGGGACAAGCATGATCAAGGAATTTTGGGGAACTTGCCAAACACGTTTCCTTGATTATTTCTTATAAAAAAATCAAATAAAACCATTGATGTTGATTTTTTTGTTCCATCCAAAGAACTCACAAGTCACCCGTTTCGTTTAGAATACATTATACAATAGTTGAAGTAATTAAGCTTATACAATTCATGAAGTAATTGAAGGCCGAATATTCCCTCTTGTTACTCATAAAAGTTAAAAAAAAAACTTTAGTTCATACATATCAGTAAGTAAAACATGAAAGGGTACATTATGTACCAATTACAGTTGATAATATTATTCTCTAAGAACTTGAAAGAGAACATGGTTATGTATCACGATAATATTAGATCGTCAAGAAATGAATGTCGCGTTTTGGAACACTTTCATTAACCACCCCCAAAAACGCACATTACATATAATAGTTAAAGAACCGCCTAAACGTCACGTTAGTGTAGCCTATATAATGT